GCTGGGGGCCGAGCTGCAGCGGCTCTCGGGGCGCTTCGGGCCGGAGGCGGTGGCCGGGCTGGTGCCGCAGGTGGTGCGGCTGCTGGAGTTGCTGGAGGCGCTGGCGGGCCCGCCTGGGGCTGAGTCCGGCTGCCGCGACCCGGCCGAGACGCTGCTGCGGACGGGGCCGAGCCTGCGCGGGGAGCGGCGGCGAGAGGAGGCGGCGGCCCCCGGGGCTGAGGTGAGCGCGAGCGCCGCGGCTGCGGGCGGGCTCGGGGCCTCCGCCAGCGGGTTTGGTACCTGCCCGTGGCGGGCTTGGCGGTGCCCGTCATCAGACCCACCCAGCGTCCGCTCTTCCCACGGCGGCCGGGCCCGGGGCCCCAGAGGGAATCCTGCAGAGACCCCGGCAGACAGGCTCGGCTCGGGACACCCTCCCTGCCCGGTGCCCGGTAATGGCAGCTCTCCCGGCGAGCGGAGTCTGGCTTCTCCCCAAGCCCGCCCGCCTCCCAGGAGGCTGCTCGCGACATCCTGTGCGGGTCGCTTGGCTGGCAGCTGTGCCGGGTAGCAGGACCGCCGCTGCAGTCTGGCTGCAGAGCCGAACGGCCATGGGAGCAGTGTGCCCCATGTGCGATCCCCATTGGTGCCCCATCAGTAAAGGTGTAGTAGATATGGCATGGCACAGGGAGGGAGCTGATCTCTCTGGGTTTGCCCTTCAGGACCTGGAGCAGAAGTTGTCTGAAGCTCAGAGGAAAGAGCATGTTCTCCAGAACCGGTTGGCCCAGCTGGAGGAAGAAAACCAAAAGCTTCTGGCACAACTTGCAGAAAGCCACTCCCAGGAAGGTGGGTGTCCCTGGGGAAGGAGGGTGGAGAGCTGCTGCTGAATCCCTTCCACGGCTGTCATTGCTGCTGGGGGTCAGTGCAGTGAAGCTGTAGTTATCTGAATGCATATCTTGCTTACAGAAATCAAGTTAGTGCCCTTGTTCACAGGCCACTGATCTCTGGGATTCTCTGGTTATATTTGTGTAAAGGCTTTACTCTGGTTTCTGAGCAGCTACAAACTCTGAATGGGTCCGTGTAATGCCTTGGAGGCAGGGTGGTGGTGGTGGTCCACTTCGTGGGTGGAGAACTGAGGCACAGAGTAATGCTGTCTATACTAGAGACCTTAGGAAAAATACCCCTTGTTCAGTTGCACAGGTGTTAGCACTGGGGAGTTCTGAACGAGGCTGGGCGTGACAGTTTCTAGTAAGTTTAACTAGAAGCCTTGTCTATATTAGGGCTCCCAGAGGTGCTAGCAGTGGTGCATGGGTTGTAGGATCTCTTACTAAACACACACTTTACCCACCCTAAAGTTGTCACTGCATAGAAAGCATCTAGCAGAGCTTGGGAGCAGCGCCTAAGTCTGCAGGGTCCCAGCTGCTGTCTCAACCACAAGACATTCTTCCCCTTAAGTTATTCAGGGAGGTGGTTGTATGAATCTGCATGTCTTTATAAATGTAAAATTTGTATTTTAAAACACACCCCAGCCTGTCCCTTTCATGTCTTGTTTCAAGAGCTGTTCTGCCTGCGCTTTGGGGAAGTGGTTTCTAGTCAGAGGTTGGAGCTACTTCTACCTTTTCCCTAACTGAGGTATTCGTGTCAAATCCTCCTTAGGGCTTGTCTACACCACACAGCTTTTAGTGACAAGATTGTGTCGACAGCCTTGTCGCTAAAAGTTGGCGTGTGTAAATGCTCTTTGTCAGCAGGAGCCGCGTTCACACTTCCACTTGTGTTGGCAAAACTTTTGTCTTTCGCGGGGCGGGGGGGGCTTTAAGTACCTGTGAAAGACAAAAGTTTTGTTGACTACTTCGCAGTGTAGACATACCCTTAGGATCGGACATGTTAAGCTCAAAATGAGTGTCCCTCTATCCTGGGTAGCTCCAGAGCACCCATCACTGTAGTAGTTATGCACTGAATGTACTCCTGGACTATCGTCCCTTGCCCAAGAAAGCTTCAGCTTCTGTTTGGGAATTTTACCCTTGTCCATACTAGCTTGTTTGTTTCAGTTGCATCTTTCAGTGTGGGTGATTGACTGTATTTCCTTTGGTAAAGCCACCCTTCGTGTGACCAGGGAGTCTAGTAATTGATGAGTAAGTCAGAATCTAAACTAACCAACTCTTAAAATTGTAAGTAAAAAGAAGAAATAGAGTAATAGTACAAGAGGAAGCACCCACTAGCGTGACTTAGCAGAGGGCCTGCTTCTCTACTGCAATGCACTTGAAATTGGAGCCACAGAGGTGGTGGCTGTTACTACCAAATTGGAGCTGGTGGGAGCTAATTGAATTAAGACCCCCACTATGCCTGAATCCATAGTAAGAAATGGTTCCTGCTCCAAAGAGCTTACAGCTTAAAGAAAGAAGTAATAAGTGTGTTTAAAGAAACAGTGAGGACAATGGTAACTGTGAGGGGGAGGTGTTATATGGGCTGGCAGCTTGCACGGTTGGCAGGCTTTAACATATAAATTAACAGGAGGCCTCAGTGATGTCAGTCCCTGCTGTCTACCTGCCTGGTTAGGGTCAGGAAGGAGTTGGCAATGTGACAATGCAGAAGAATGGTGAGTGTAGTGTTGACTGGCCTGTCATGGAGGAGATGGTCTTGCTCTGCACCTCCAGGTGGAGTGTGGAAAGGCATGTTCTCTACTGCGTACCCCAATGTAAGAAAGATACAGTGGGTGAGAGAGAAGAAGCTAGGAGAGAACCAACTAAGTGGCTGGGGACTAGAAGGGCCCATTGGGAGTTAGCCATGTAACATGGGGGCGCAC